TCCTTCCCCATACAATCTCTGTTAAATGTTCCTTTAAAATATATTTTTTGGCTCTGCTTCTGCCAGCACTTATGAAGGAAAGTCTGAATTATTAGCATTACTGATTAATTTACATGTGAATAAAATGAAGCCTAGGAAGATTCTGTCAGCTTGCCATATGGCACTGCATGCTTGTTGCTGAGAAAAAAAAAGGAAGAAAACAGAACTCAGGATGCAGCCACCTCTTATAACAGGTTCAGTGCTCTTTTTTGTACCTCAGGATTTGAGTTTATATGTGCACGTAAGTGGGGTTTGGGTTTCCTCAGCAATCAAGGCTGTGGTATGACACAATACTAGTCCAGGAGTCCTGGGATTTCTCATTGCAGGAGGGAGCAGTTTTCAGTCCTGGGCACACCCCAGTGTAATTAACAACTATTAGCCTAGAATGTTCAAGTGGGCACTGCAGCCTCCTCCACTCAGGCTGGAATGGCCACAGTGCAGGTGACTCACTGAGGTGTGTGAAGCCATAATCTGCTTTAATAGTTTAAGTACCCACCTGAATTAGCAGGCATCTGTTCTGGCCATAAACAGTAAGTCTGGTTTGGCAAGCATCTCTCAACAGCATTTTCAGATCATTCTCTTCAGCTTGTTGTGTGTCCTGAGGCAGAGACTGATTGTTATTTGTAGTTGTTTTCTGGTTTGTGTAACAACACAGTAATTCACTGCTAATGGATGAACACTGTGAGAGTAAACAAAGAATACAAAATACTTAAAAAATCCAATATGAATTTTCTCTGAGGATGTTGTCTTCCCTTGAGCGAACAAAAAAAGTTCATCATTCTTTGTCAGAAGGAGTAGAGAGTTAAAATATGATTAAAAAGTCAAATAAAGTATTTTCCTAATTTGATGTTGATTCTCCACTGTCATCTTAGCATACAGATGAGACAGACATAGTGGCTTCAGAGAAATTTATACTTCTCCACCTAGAAGGACATTTGAGCAAAGATGCGGGATTGCTTTTCCTGATAATCAGTAGTTATTGGTGTTCAAATACTTTTGGGGATTTGGGTCCCAAACAATTCCTTGCTCTTAATATGTGACTATTTGATTGCTTAAACTCTTTCTGAAGAGCAGGACTCTTGAAGTACTTGCTAAAGTGCTAATGCAAATGAAGCAGGAATTTCCAGTGACCCTGAATGAACCCTGTCTTGGTCCTGTCAACTTCTGCTAAGAATTTCTGACAATTGCATTTAGTGTGGTACCCAGAGCTGATAACAAGGGATTAGTATTTTATCTGTGTGCTGTCACCTCTCATTGAATGCATGACAAGTTTCCTTGTCACATTATATCTCTAGGTACATTCAGTGTTTTAAACATTACCCCTGATTGCAGAGCTACCATGTTCATGGTGTTGAAAAAGAAAACTTTATTTTCCTTCAGTTAATGAGATGCTGTCCCTGCATTTCTCCATGAAACAGAATCATAAAGCATGAGAATAAATAATACTTGAGCTAAAACAGATCCTTTTATTTTGAGTGTTGCTATGATCTTGGCCACAATACCCAGAAGAAAAGACTGAAGTCAGATTGTTTTCTAATTGATAAGATCAAAGTGCTATCATGTACCAACTCATTAGCCTAAGAGATATATTTCATCTGCAGTTTTAACTTTAGCTTTTTCCTTTCCCTTTGTTCCTACTGGAGAATATGGCTTTCTCTTGCTGTGCTGAAAGAGGGATGTAAAGGAAATCTGTGTTGTCTTTTTCTCAGTGTGAGGATTTCAAGATGTATTTCTTCTTGTTTGCATCCACCCTGTGCTAGGTGCTGTGTGCACCTTGGCAACAATTGCAGGTTGGGTCTCACATTGTCATTTTGGGCCATTTTGTTGAGTGGACCTCAACCAGACCTTCTCTGCACTAGAGAAAATAAACCAGAATCTCAACGTTTTGACTTTTTTATGGAGAAGCCCTGAGAGACAAAGGTGCAAGAGAAGGACTGTAGCAAAACCCTTGAGAAGAGAGGCAGGATTGCCTGTCTTTCATACAGCACAGATACAAGAAAAAACCCTCCCTTCATGAAACAAATTCCTCCTCCAGCCTTTCCTAACCAAAGCTTGCTGTGGTGACATTTCTGGGGCTGCAGCTGCCCTTGCAAATAATTGCTCCCCAGCCCAGGAGCGTGGGCCACTGGTCCCATGGACCTCGTCATTCCTTCTTGTGCCCCCCATGAGGCAGCTGTAGGGCAGAGCTCTGAAACAAGAATTGGACTGACAGCTGCCCCTGCTCTGGCTGCTTGCTGCTAAGGGATGAATAATGCATGCAGCGCATTTAAATGTAATGTCACTGAGTGTTTTCAGGGAGAAAACCTTCACTGTTAATCCTGCCTGCATGAGAGGAACATCCTTGTTGGATTCCCTGCAGTGAGGGGCTGGGCTGCAGCACATCCCCATGGTCTCTCCTAGTGGGCTGCACTCCAGGCTGAGGGGCCCTTCTGGGACTGAGGCAGTTTCAGTGCAGAGTCTTGCTCTTGACATTTTGGCTGGAGCTGGAAACTTCCTTAACCTCGGGAGCAGACTGCTCACTCGAAGTGATCCCTGCCTGATGTCACATGAGGTGAGTGGAGGGGATCCAGCACTCTTGAGAATTGGATGGTGTAAGCCATGTTTCACAGCAAGTAACTTTTTCCCACATTCCACACTTGCCTAGTCCCACACAGAGTGTAAGATTCAAACCACTGTAATCCTCCTTCAAGCTATCTTGAAGCTACAGCATGTCTAGAGCAAAAACCTGAGGTTTCTTCCATTCCTTCTGTGGCCTTATGAGTGAGGTGAAGCTGTTTGGCCAGAGCTGCAATCCCTGAACAGCTGTACTTATGTCTGTCTCTGGAAAGTGCTTTCTCCAGAGGTCCAGAAGAAGCCATAATAAAAATAGAACCAGAATTTTACCTCAGCCCCTGCTGCAGAGCCACAGGACTGGACAGACTGGTCTCTGAGACACTGATTTCTTACATAAAATCTTGTAGTGGGCTATTCGTGTAGGTTCTCTCCTGTTGCTGCACTGGCTTGTACAGATAAAAGTTTTTTCCACTATAGATGAACTTGCAGGAATACCATCTGGTCAATTATTGATATTCCATTAGTGACTAGATGCCCTGGAACTCCTGACTGTCACTGGATGAAAGACAGTTTGATCCCAAAATAATCTACAGCTCAGGAAGGAAATTTTCAAAGCCACAGAAAGCAGTTAGGATGTTTACCCTCTGAAAAACGTTTCTTTAATGGACAAGAGAGAGGCCCTGTGTGAGTCCAGAGACTTTTCTTCCTCACATGCAGTCCTAAAATCAGCAGCTGGGTTATGATTCTCACTTGCCATCACATTTAGCTGGGCCTGGAGCAGGGCCAGAGCCAGCAGGCGTGTCTGAGCCTGGATGTGCTGCAGAGAAAACTCCATGGTCAGAGTGCCAGCACTGCTCCATCAGAGGGGCTGACCTGCCCATCCACATGGACTCCTTTGTCACTTCTGGGTTATTTTTTTCCCTGTGTTTTCACACCACATTGACCTGAAAGCTCAGCACACTGCCTGCTGCTTCCTCTCATTCCATGAGGATGCCCAAAGAGAGCCCACAGCTCTCACATAGCCTTGCTGTTTATCTGTAAAACACAAGCACTTCCTTCATTTACAGCAGATTTTAAGGTGCCTTGGCCCTTGGATGCAGTTGCAAGAAGAGTTGTTTCTTCTCAGGCACTGTCAGGGTTATTGGACTTAACTTCAGGGGAAAATAAACACTGGGTTATTTTCAGCAGCTCTTTGCTGCTTGAAGTCCCCAAGCACTCAGTGTATGCTATGATATAGGAGGATTACATTTAGCGGCTCTTATAAAAAAAGAAATTATGACCCATCCATAGGAATCTGTTTAGTCTCTAAACTTTTTAATTAATTAAAGCAATGATTCCTTTCCCGTTGATTATTGCACCATTTTTTTCCTAATTTCAAAGTTCTGGTTTCAGGGAGAGGAAATTTACCTTTCCATCCTTTGTTTTACTTCATTTTTTCCTTCATCTCTATAATATTTCTTCTAATTATCCTTTTTAATTATGATGATAGTGAAGAAGGTGGACAATATTACTTTTTGACTTGTTTGAACTAGATGCAAAAAATAGATTATACTGGCTCTCTTTTGATATTCTCATTTCTACATTGTGCATATCAGCATATTAACATGCAGTTTTCAAAAACTTGCAGAAAAAGACAACCTTTACTCCTGAGGAAAAAATAGATAGCAAGGACAAATTATGAGTATTTTTAGCTCTGAAGTTGGATGCTGTTTTCAGATCTTGGTCTTTTCACTCATATTAAGAAAAAACATACAAAAATTATGGGGAAGCTAGGGCTTGAACACCTGGGGAAATAATAATAATTATTAATACTATTAATAATAATAATAAACAACAAAATGGAATAATAATAATAATTTTTAAAGCTTCCCTTTTTATCCTTATTTTTGTTTTCTTACTAGATGATGTCTGAGAACATCATGTCTGCAGAGAATCTCCCCCAGCTATCTATAGACACCTGCTGGTTGGATTAACTGGACACTAGGCTGCCTTTGATTTTGGCATCTTTGAATATGTGAGTGTTTTTTTTGAAGAGTACTGCAGAGTGCACAGTTGAAACAGACTTTTATACACATACAAAGGACTCCTTGTGTGAATTCTGGTCATAATTTCCTAAAAGCTAAAAAGGCTTTATTTTTCTTGAAGAACAGGAGTTTAAAAGATTTGTTACAGGCCCAGCTTTGAGAGTCCATCAGATTATCAAGGCCCATTCTCATACTGAATTTGGCATGAGATCTAAAAGATGAAATTATTTACTTCTTGGGCATTTCCCCTTGCACCAAGTGAAGTTGGTGGTTTATGTACCCACGAAGCAAACCCTGAAAATGCAGCCTGGACTCCAACACCCCTCTCACCTGCCAGCAGCTCCCATCAGCCAATAAATGGGGGCAGTGATTTCCACAAAGTCTTCTCCACAGGACTGTTCCCAAAGGCTCCTGCCTTTAGGAGATTCCTCCCCTGTATTTGACCCTCATTTAGTGACCCCTCTGCTGGTTAATTGCCAGGACAGCAATGCTGAGGAGTGTTATGAACACCCTCTCCTCACACATTGGAACCTCCTCACTGCTGTGGTTGTAACACCAGATTTTTTTTTTGCAATTATGGTGACATTGGCAAAATGTCACAAACCCCAAGCAAACCCCCAAAAATTCTGTTACATTGTTTTACTAAAAATAATGTCATTTTATTAAGAAAACAAAACTGTCATTCTTTTTCATCAAACAGTTCCAATTTTAATTTTTTTCTATGGCAGACTTTTAGAAGACATTTACAACAAAGAGGAAAAATAAAAGCCCATTTCCCTTTATCAGAAGATTCTACTGATAAAGTTTGCCAGACTTCCTCCCCTTCTAAATCTTGCTCAATCCTAAAACACCAGCATATTAAGAGGTTGCAAATTTGAGACAAGTAATACTGTCACTATAAATAATATTTATAATTGTAGCTAGAAGGTTCCCTCAAGAAAAAAAAAGCCTGTGAAGCATGTGGATGATTATTACCTTTTTGTTGTTGTTGTTTGATTACAGTTCTCAGTGGCTGCAAACATGGTCCTGATTATCATATTAACCAGAAGACATAGTAAAGAATCCTATTCTTAATTAACTTCACTAGAATATTTCCTTAGCCTGAAGATTCATAAGTAGATCTTGTTTGTAAAATCCCTTTCAGCCAAATAACCACTTAACTAATTTAAAATTAAGTATATCTTGGTGAGTATATTTCTCAGGGAATCATATTTGAATATTACTGTGATATCATCTAGGGAAATGTTTTCTTCCCAGCTATTAAAAAAATAAATAGAAATAAATAAAACATTTTTCTCAATTGGACTATTTTTTGAAGTGAATTCAGCTGTTGGCCACTTCATGAACCAGAATCCTTCATTTGCCCACTGTCTGTAAGGACTAAACCCTGTTTCCATCACGACATCAGCCAATCCTGGGCAGTCAGAACGTGAGGCAGGAGCTGTCCAAGCTGTGCCCTTCCCCAGCCTGCTCCTGATTTCAGCAGAGAGAGTCTGGAGTGATTGGGTTGAATACTAAAAAACACAAACACAGAAACTTCAGTCCAGCTATTGCTTTGAGCTTGGTGGTGTTCACCTGAGCTGGGATATTTCCTTTGAAAATGCATCTATCCTAAATTAAGGCACTTATGCTTTTTTGGGGTAAAGATTCAGAAGAAAGCAAATCATGTCAGAAAATAAAAAGTATTGTATGGGGTTCTGTGGAGGTTTCCCATGACAGGAACTCCACTTAGTAACCTGGTAAAGCAGCTGTGCAGGAATGGTAAGTCCCTGGAGGAGGTTTGGAAACCACCAGGATGTGTCTGAGTTTGAGCAGAAATGCCCTGCCATTTTTCTCCAATTAATCTCATGATAGGGTAGAAAAAAAATCAGTGGAAGAGCAAATTGGAAGGTAAGTATTCACATCCTGAAGGAATCTGTCAGTCTGAATCCTTTTGTTTCTAGCTGTTTAAAGATCCTGTTTTTGTAAAAAAAATAAATTTAAGATATAAGGCAGTAAAAAAATAAATTGCTGCTTATGAAGGCTATTTCCCTGCTTTTTGAGCAATACCATGTAATCTCTCGTGAGCTGGGCACTGGGAAGGAAAAGGCTAAAATAATCACTACAAATTCTGCATCCTCAGGCAGACAACCTACTGATAAGTCATTCCCCAAATTAGCTGTAGAAATCCTTCCGTCTGGGAGGAGGTCAGTGAGTGCTGTGAGAAAAGCCCTGCTCAGGTAACACGGTGTGAGCACTGAGGGTCCAGCTCATGCTTCCACAGTGGCTTTTCACCCCATATCATGCCTCCATGTCATACCCACTCTGGCAGTTACCTGCTCATCAGAACAGGCAGTTCAGATCCCAGCCCAAAGCACTTTATTTATCCATCTCTGAGTCACTCTGAGGGTGAAGCACTGCTTCACAGCACTTTTCCTGGTATTTATTCTGCTCTTCCAGATCAGAATTATCATGCTGCTATTTTTTTTTTTTTTGATCCTTTAATCAAGTCATCAGGAAGAAATTTTAGCAAGACAAAGGGAGAGCAGACAAAATGGCTCCATTATGAAATGAGAACAGACTTTGCCAAATTTCCAGCACGGTGGGGCTCTGCCCTTGCTTTGGAGGAAGCTGGGAGGGCTGCAGTGATATGTAGAGGCAAACAGGAACTCTCTGGGGTGATATTGCTTTAATCACGTCAGTGAGTAAGAAAATCAGCTTCAGTAAATTGCCATGGAAGGAACTCATGAATAAAAACCAGTGAAGTAAAACCTGCTATATGGGGCGACTTTGTTACTTTCTGTAAGTCCTTTCAAACTTAGTGCTGGGGGTGTTAGCTGAGCTTGGATATAATTACATAACTTAGTCATGACAAAAAAAAAAAAAAAAAAAAAAGAAAGAAAAAAGAAAGATAAGAGAGTCACTTGTCCCAGAATTTCAGGGTTGTGTCCATCCCATGGGAGAGAGATTTTCAGCTGTGACCAGATGTCTCTTGCCAGCTGGGAAAAGATTAAGCAATTTCTGGTCTTTCAGATAAAAAAACTTTTTTTTTTTTTTTTGTAAGTTCTCGGTTCCACGAGGTGTTTTTAGTGGGACACGACAAGCAAGTCCTTATCAGAGTGATGGGATTTCCTAATTGCTTCTGCTCCAGCAGACAGGTTGTGGATGAGCCTTCTCTCCAGCTAAGTGAGAGGAGCTGCTAATTATAGCCTGGGTGTTAGAGTCACCTTTGGCACAGCTCAGGAGAGCTTTAATTGGGTTGCTCTCAGCCCTTCTGTTTGTGCTCCCAGTGCACATTGCTGCTGGGTCTGTGCTGCTGTCTGCAGTGAGCGGCCGTGGTGCAGCCCCAGGGCCTGGCCAGGCACAGCTCCAGTGTCCATGACCCAGGAGACACCAAGTGCAGTGGCAAAGAGTGAGGACCAGGTGAAAATCCTGCCTCTGTGCCTGCCACGGGGAGATTGTCTGGGTTTTGCTCCAATTCATCATCCGTATTGTCATTTAGAGAGCATCTAATGGCTGCTCAGACAGGATGTTTTAGCCGTCCACACACTGCAATTGACCTAGAAAAGGTCAATTGATGTCTTACTGAAATCAGCAGGAGCTGATTAAACATGCAGAAATTGTGGTGAATGGTATTGGGTGGGAGAAACCAATGTCATTCCACTGACAACTTCACTAGAAACCTGACAATTTCCAGCTGAAATCATCCAAATGCTCTTGAAATGCACTGGAATTATACCACTACCTTCTGTGGGTTCTAATCAGGGAACACAACTGTGTAAGGCATAAAAATTAGCATGTTAGTCTTCAAACATGGGAAAAAATTATATCAGAAATGTATTTTGTTTCCCTTAGGCAGATGTGATTCTTCGGTTCTACCACCCTTCCCTCCATTTGTCCTCATGCTTTTCATTATCAGAATGGTAATGTAATAAAGTTAAGCTGCTTTGTTGTGGTAGAAAAATTACACCTGAATGCTTCCAAAAATAATCCCTACTTTGGAAAAGGTAGAGATCAAAATAAAACAAAGACTAAACCCCAGAAAAATAAGAAAAATTACTCAGCTTAAGGGTACAAAAAATATTGAGAGCAGAATGTTATACATTTTCTTGATAGCTGCAACTGTCAATTTCAGCAACAGTGTCAGAAAAAACAAAATAATGTTTTGCTTTGTGTTTGCAAGACTGGATGTGAAAGGAAAGGGGAAATAACACTATGAAATGCTTTAATTTTCTTGATTTAGATGAATAAGCCCAAAGTACCTGGAGTGATGAATATAACCAAGAGATGGCAGCAGTTCATGCACTATTCATTTACTTAACTTAGTTTGCAACATTATTTTCTTCCTGTAAGGTACAAGGAAATTAAGTTGTATTTATTTTATCATGCAAATTGTTTCCATTGTAATTAAAGGGAAAGGAGGGGCAGAGACAAAGGAGAGAGGGAGGAATAGTCTGATGAAGTGATGTGGAAATTTGTTTTAGGCACACATTTAAGGTTTCCTTTTGGAAAGAAATTATATCAGTTTGCTGTGTAAAAGGGCTAAAATCCATCTCCAGTCAGAAATCTCTTAAAAGTGTACATCCTGTACAGCTACAACACTCGGGGGTGAAAAACATTTCTTGTACTCAGCTGTGGTTCCAGGACCAAAAATCTCCATCCCATGTTCACAGGCAAGGATAACTGCTGCCATCTGGAGAACTTACATTTGCTTTGAAGTTGGGATGCTCCAAATGATGCTGCAGAGAGTATCTCCAACTCGGCTTCTCCAAGGAGGTGAACTGCTTCCAGCTCAGAAATGGTGTGCTAAAGAGAGGACCACAAATTTCATGTTTGCCTACAAAAATACACTAAAATAGAAACCTCCCTGTACACTGAAATGCCACACTGAAATGCTGATTTTGTCTCAATGAGCCTACTCAAAGGCTCATCTTTCTTCAGCCCTACAAATTGTAGGGCCTAAATGTCTTCCAGTGGCTTCCACCTTTTTTTAATCTATGACAATGTGACACCTGTAAGGTCTTACAGCATTTTTGGACAGGCAATAGACTTTAAAAAACCAAAACGACCTCGTTTGGGAGGGTAGATTACATCAAAGAGAATGTGGAGTGGATGAGGCATTGCTGCAGCAGTCAAAGGAAAGATCTGCAATTAATCACATAAAGGACTGAACAGAGCAACAAAGACACACTCCAACCCCCTGATTAATTCAAGGAGGAAAATTTTGCATTAAGATACTGATTTATAACATCTTGAGGGATTCAGTACGTGTTTGGTGACTTGGGAAAAGATTATTACATCAATAAATACTTAGATCATAGCTCAGTATTTCAAATAAATACAGATAATCATAGGCTAGTTTGTGTCAGGTACATACCTAGATAAATATTCAGAAAACCCTGAGTTATCATTGGACTAAATGCCTTGGCATTGAGATCAGGCAGTTCTACCATCAGTCTTTCACAATGTTAACAAGTTGTTTTGTTCCCTCCACCTGAGACAGAGAGATAGACATGACAAAATTCAGAATGCAGATATTCCATCTAAAGTGGCTTTAGGTGTGGTTTAACCCCAATCTGTGGTCTGGATATGTGAATGATAAAAATTGTCCAGGTACCACAGTTAAAATGACACTAATAATGGTTTCAGGGACTTCATTCACATGCTCTCATAGAGTGACATAGCATGACATGAGACACTTATCTCTTCATGTGCAACTAAAGAAAGAAGTAAGGCATGGGAATTGGAATTATACTATATTTATATAAAATTCATTTCTCAAACAAATTCCAATGCCATTTAAACATTTTAAAAAATCTGAGCACAGAAAGATTTATATTGTGAATTAATGTGCATTAAAAAATGGTGCCAAATTAGCACTTCAAAATTAATTTAATGAGCAAGGCTCTGCAAGATTGTTTGAAAAACATTTGTGTCATGGTAATGAATTTACTTCCTAAGTAATGTAGTACACTTAGATGCTGGCTTACAGGCAATAGCGATTGTCAAGTTACAATTATTTTCAAAATTATCATGGCCCATAAATCCTTAACTTATTATAAGAGATTCTATTCGCTTTTTTTCCAGTCTTCCAAATCTTTGGTTTTATGCTAATCTGATGCCATTGATTCTGTTAGGGGCAAAAGGGTGTGAAACTTCTTGTTGAAGAGAGTTTGAAAAGGAATTTCTTTAACAAGCAGTATTTCTCTAAATGGGAGCTTTGCTTTTTGCAGTCCAAAGCCCCTCTAGGGATCTGGGCTTGGAGCCACCAGTTTGTCCAGCCAAGGATGGATACTCACTGTGCCAGGAGCAGCATGGGCCACTGGTCCTGCTGTACCTTTTACTGATGTCTCTAATGCCATGAAGGACCTAAAGAGATTTGGGCCCCTAGAACTGAAACACTTTCCATCTGCATAGCTGGATTCAGCTCAGGGAGAGCCTGGCAGTAGCATTTTCATGGCTGCATTAAGTCCTTACACAGCTCTGAGTAGAAGAATTGTCCCATGGACCTTTATTGCAGCAATGAACCCTCTGATTAGAGCTCCTCACCTTTCTGAGATATCTCTGGTAGGACTGAGCATTATCACCTTAACATTGCTTCAGTTCATTCAGGCAGTGAAAAGATGCTTAGAAATACTGGACATGAGCAAAGCATTCCTGGGAAGATCTCAAATAAATTTATGTGAAGAAGGCAAGGCAGGACTGTAACAGTTGGTGGAAAATGCAGATAGAATGGAAAAACAATAAAAGGTAGGCTGGGAGAGCTGCAATTTGTGAGGAGGTCTTTTCATGTAGTCAAATCTGTCTTAGTGCCAGCAATGTAGGAAGTCAGTGGGTGTCTGATTATCATCTCCTGAAGACAGAAAAATTGCCATTGTAACTTTTTTTTTCAAATCAGATGAATTTTAAAATGATAATTGAGTGTATATATAGCAGCATTCTTTGTCTTTTTTTTTTATTATTTCCTTCCACCTTGCTTTCTCATTCAAAAGTTTCCCCTTCTCATATCATTGGCAGTTTGGAATAGGAATAATGGCAGTTTGGAATAATGTATTTTGTCTTCAGCTTAAGTTCAGTATGTGTTTCTGAACTACTTGGCAGGGAGTGAGGGGAATCCCTTTGTAATAGCTTCTAAATAAATTCAGTATCAATTTAAACTATTAGAGGAAGTTAAATAAAAATAATTAGGATATTAAAATACTTTGAGCATTTCCAATCACTGTTTTATTGCAAACCTGGATCTTTTCCAAGAAACAATAATAGAGTGAATACATTGGAATGTTTCCTTCCACTTAATATGAGACCATTTGCTCATGGAAAGATGATTGATAACTTGCACTAAACACATAACCAGACTGATTTGCAGACAAGTAAGAGGAGAGGCTGGAATAAATGTCGCATTAACAAAACATTACACAGATGCACATTCACAGACGCTGAGTGTATTAACCAAATAAAAAAGAAAACAACATAAAAGCTTTCATGGCATCTCTTCTTATTAGAAAAATATTCTGACCCTGTGCAATGTAACTGCTAAATACACTCCGGCATGGGGAAAGAGAGAGAGATTTGGAGATTCTGATTGCTCTAAACAAGTTCAGAACAAAGCAAGGGTAGGGTACTGGGGGAGATAAATGTAAGCTGATTGCAGTGCCGAGTCACTGGCTCTGTCTTTTTTTCCTAATTCCTCTACCATCCTTCTTCACAACATCAAGAATTATGTCTTCAAAATTCTGTGGCCTGCTGGCACTAGGGAGCATAAATAAGCTGGCACTGTGCAAGTGTCAGTCTGTGGGAGTTTCCACACTCTTCTCCCTGTCTCTGGCACAGAAAGGCTCTGTCCTGTCTCTGGCAGCTGCCACGCTCCCTCCTGGGGCAGACTCAGGTGTGCAGCCTTACAGGGATTTGTTTTTAATTTGTTTACAAGGTTACACACAGGGCTGGGCCTGGCCAGGGCCCTGCCTGCTGCAATCACAGCCCAGCCTAGTCTTGAGCAAAATACCTTGCTTGGGAGTAATTTTTTTGCTCTTTCAGGGACAGAAGAATAATTTACTGTACCTTTCTATCAGATTTCCCCTTCTTTCTTTTCCTCCCCCTTAAATAAAATGAGAATTTCTGCTCTGGATCAGACTAAGTCTGTCTATCTCAGATGGTGTCCACTTACAGATTCTCAGGGAAGAATGTAAGGAACAACACAAACATTCAGTTACCTGTGGTACAATTCTTCACCTTTCTGAAGCAAGAAAAAATAGAAAACCCCTCTTCTGTTCAATGGAGTCACTGCTTGGGTGATCAGGTGTTCACAAACTTGCAGTACCAGCCAATGTGCCCAATGTAGACGCTACAGAGGATTCCAGTTCCTGCTGTAAAGATCCCTGCACCTTAACCTCCTAAGGAAATAAATCTGGGTGCAAACAATGTATGCCAGCAGAGACAAAAGGGGAATGAGGAGTGCTAGACATAGCTACAGCCTACATGAATGGGGAGAAGAATTCTTCTGTAGTGAATTTGAAACGCATTTTTGAATCAAGTGAACATGATGCTGCCAACAAAAGACTCCAGGGAAAAATGTGTATTACAGAATAAACAGGAGAATTCTGAGTAGAGATCAAGATGCTGGATTTACTTGGTGTTTCATAGTGCTGTAATTGTAGCAGGAATATTATGTCCAGGTCTGGCATTTGCAATTCAGGAAGGATATTGCACATCACTCTAGAAAGAGGAATGACTGAATCACTGAAAAACATGTCCCAAAGACAAATATTTAAAGAATTAAGTCTAATAGTTTTAAAAAGAGATGGAGTAGCTTCATTCCATTTCATATGGATTTCAGTAGGGAGAATGAGTTTATTACTCAACCACAAGCTGATAAAGCTGCAGTAAACACAGGGATTAGAATCCAAAGTTGAACAAACAATGTGTGATAAGATATACATTTTTAATAGGGAAGATATTAATCATTACAATAGCAAAACAAGAACTTCCACTGTATCACTGAGCAATTTTAGATTAGCATCAAATGCTTATAGATTTTGTTTGTCTTTGTTTTCTTCCTAAAAATATTCTTTAAAAAGAAACTGTAACAGCATGTAGTTCAGACTAGTTGCAATATCCCCATTATACAAGTAATCCCTTAGAAGTGCACTTTGGATCCCTTTTGGGTTGTATAATGTATAAGCTGATGACTCCTGAAATACTTAAGGATGTTCAGCTGCAGCTGGTGGAGCACAGCTCTATCTCTGCAAACATATTTCACTGCCATGGCAAACAAAACCATACCTGATGCAGCGGGCCATTGATATTTGAAAGTAATTCCCTTGGTTTTTAATTTATATGCCCTAAGATCCCTGTTTAAAAATGTGTTTCCTTTTTGGTAAGTCACCGCATAACTCCCTACTAATCCCCCTCATTTACATTGAGTATTAGCTTTATAGAGAATGGTACTAATTAATCCTGTATAACTGCAATTTAGTGGCTGGGCTGCACAACAGCATGAGAATTAGCATGGCACTGGGTGCTGGGTTATCAGATCCATTTTCTGGGTAAGTCCTATTATGTTCTGTAGGACAGGCAGGCACACAACGAATTTAATTACACAGCCTTTCAATCAGCTTGCTTGTAAGCCTGGGAACTATCTTCTAGCTCCTGCACTTCACAGAGAGCAGTGCTTTTTCTGAAGCTGCTCTTGCACTGTACTTTAGCTACTCACTCTGCTTGGATACTAATTATTGGTAATGCTAATGACCAATGACCTTGCCTGCAAGGTCGTATTCCTAGATGACACCAGAGTTTATAAACATTCTCTCAAATTGGTAATGATCAGGAGTAAAGATTATAATTTACAGCAAGCAGCCTGCTTTCTGAATGAAATATAAATAAACATATTGCAATAAAAATAATTTATATTAATTAACAGTATAGATACAAAAGTAAATAAGTAAAAATAAATAGAAAAATAAGGAAATATAGTCTCAATCTCACTTACTGATGAAGTGTGATGTTGTCACACATAATTTTCCCCAAAGGGACATTACCCATTAAGCATTGCCCATTAAAAGACCTGGTTTATGCTCCTGGGTCTGGCAGTGACCTACCTTAATGGACCCCTCATTTCTCTGCCTGATCCTTTACTGCTCTTCTTTCCTTGTGTTGTTCAGTTTCCTGACACCAACAGAAGCCCATCCCATGGAGCTGACTCAGATGAGCTCAGTGCTGTCAGTGGATATACAGAGCAATTTGAAGCAGTACCTCAAATCTACAGCAGAATGAAGCAGCCTCTGGAAGCTCTTCTCCAGGTTATCCAGTAATGAGACTCCTAGTTTTGATGGCTGGGTTAAGTACTTCAAGTTCATTAAAAGATCCATACTTAGGCCTGCTTATTTCTCTTCTCTGTCACATAAGAAAGAAGGGATGGCATAAGAAAGAGGCTTTTAGGCTAAAATTTTGGGTTTATAAAAATATAGCACTGTATTTCACCAAGAAAGGAAAAGCCAGCCCAAGTGAATGAAAACAGTCAGCTGTGAGAAAAGCAGCACAGGACTACAAAGGGAATGTTGAAGATTCTCCTTGTTTCATTATTTATATTTCCCCACAGTGGCAAAAAACCACATTCCTATATTCCATATAAAATATAATGCACTTAATTGATCTAAGTAATTTCAAGGCTGCTGAATAGCAGAAGCCTTCAGAGTGGAATATTCTAACTTAATGATCACATAAAATTGCTCAAAGTGTTTTTAATGTCATTGTAATTTCTGAGTTTATTTAATAGTTGAGGGGGAGAGAGGGTAACATTAAGAGTCATCTGCATGGCTGGCATGGCTGTATATAACAAATGAGACATGCCCATGCCACAAGAACCATTATTTGAGAATGGCTGTAGTAAAAATGCAGTTATACTGAGCATTTGCTTTAGGCCATGACAGTGTTTAATGAGAATGATATTGCATTAGGATTCAGGACACCTCAGATTTGTTTCTAAGTGTTTGACCTTTTAACTGTCAGTTCTCTTTTTGATTCTACTGATTTCTTGCTGTTTCTTTCCCATCCTCAGACATCCAGTTCATAAAAACTTCATCTAAGAGCTGTACAGTTGTGATCCACTTTACACCTGCAGAGTATATGGTAAAGAAACTTCTGTCTACATATATGTATATTTAATACAGAATCAAAGAATGGTCTGAGTTGGAAGTGACCCTAAAGATTACCTAGTTCAGCCCCTCTGCCATGGACAGAGACACCTTACACCAGACCGTGCTCAGAGCTCTATCCAGCCTGGCCTTGAACATTTCCAGGGCTGGGGCATCCCCAGCTTCTCTGGGTGACCTGTGCCAGTGCCTCACCACCCTCACAGTAACGAATTTCTTCCTAATATCTAACCTAATTTCAGCTTAGGCCACTTCCCTTTGTCCTATCACTACATGCTCTGGTCACTCTCCAGCTCTCTTGTAGCTCCTTTGGGTACTGTGAGGAGCTCTGAGGTCTCCCCAAGGCCTTTTCTTCTTCAGGCTGAAAACCCCCAGCTCTCTCAGCCTGTCTTTATGGGAGAGGCGTTCCAGAATCATCTCCCTCACATGTTGCAAAGAGCTGCCTTTCATCCAGGATCATCAAAACCATGGTAAGCTTCCAATAGTTTTTTTCTCACTGGCCTGAGGCCAGACTCCCTTGCACAAAAGGATCAAGACATTGACAAGCCACAAGTGCAAACCACTCTGGGTGTGTTTAGAAGGCCAGGTGGGTGTGAGGTGGGCAGTCTGCCTGGGCACTTCTTTCAAAACAATGATAATTGCAGCAGCAGCAGCAGCACATATTGCTGGGTATCTCTGTTCTCCCCAGAACTTCTGTTTGTCTGCAGTTGAAGCCTTCTCCCCAATTCTTGCCAACACTGTTCAGAATTATTTTTCAATATTAAAACAAGAATTAAGATTTTAAATCTAATTCCACATTTTTCTCAACTCCTACCCCCCTGGTCTGTTTGAAGTTATTTTAATCTCCTCTCAACCTTCCATTTTTTTCCTATTGGACTTGTCTAATTTGCCTCATTTCTAAGTCATGATGATATCCTCAAGACACCAATTCATAACTTCCTCATGTTGAAATTGTTCATTAAAATCTAATTTTTACCACCTAATTCTGACTTTTGAGCTAATGAAATCAGAGTAATTATAAACATCCATCTTGCAACATTGCACATTGACATTTGAATAGGAAGACTCAGAATGGAAGAAAAACATCACTGGAGAGCTTCTTTCCTCTATCTGCAAAAGAAATCATCTCAATCATAAATATATAGATTAAAACTCTCTCTTCTAAGTTCATCTCAATATTAACTTTATACTGCCATTAAAGTTTGTCTGAACATCAACCATAAGGGACCATATCTAATTTCACATGAGATGTGTTTGGTTTGCTCAGATCCATTATTTAACAAAGAGAACTGAAATATGTAGAAAGAAAGGTACAGCTCTTGCAGTATTTGATCCAGAATTCACCAGGAGTTTTAACATCTTCCAAAAATATTAGAATATACTGAAGGAAGCAATCACTCAGGAGAACTTATAGTATTTTTTTTTTCTAGTCTTATTATAGTTGATGATTGCAGATTAGATTAATGGGTGAATTTTACAGGCTCACACTGTACTAAGACTCCCTGTGACACTAAATAGCTATTCACAATCTTATAAGGTTATAAGAAGAATTTATACATATTTTTAATTGTTTTCAACCTTCACTAAAAGTTAGAGAGACCGATAAATGTTAATATATAGCTGCAACAGTCTGAAAAGTGTAAGGATGGGGAAGGACAGTCAGACTTGTTATAGGCTAAGGAGTTATCACCACAAGGTGGGGTTCTGGCCCTGGTTGCAATTCTGCAGTTACAAGTAATTTCAAAAAAGTGTAGCTTGGAAAGAAGAATGGCAATTCTGCAGGTACACCATTTAAAATAAGCTTTGAAAAATCTGAGGTATATTACTATCAGAAAAAAAAAAAAAAAGAAAATATTATTGAAAATTGTTCATGCAATGTGATCTGTTTGTATAAAATTTCTGTTGTTCCCTGCCTGGTTTCTTGCCAAACTGCTTTGTGAAGTGTGGGGATGCTCTCTTCTCGTTTGGGCTCCAGTGAGGCAGCAAGAGCTCAGATTGCCTTGCAAATGGGCCCTGCCGGGCTTCCATGTCCTGCCCACAGAGCCAAGAGTCTGGATGAGCTGAAAGCCCCAGCCCAAAGCAAAGTTCATGTCCTGACTATAATGACTATAATCTGCAATTTGAGAAGCAAGGTTTGAACTCCACTGCAACTGGGAGTTGACCAAAGACGATAGTAAGAGGAGAAATTTAACTGTTTCTTTTATTTTTAATCTGTTTAGATTTAGATTAGACTATAGATTAGACTTTATTCTAATTTTTCAGTGTTATACAAAGTAATACTTTGATGTTCTGTAGCTCTTTTTTTTTTTTAATTATTATTTATTTTATTTTTTCAAAAGAAGCCATAAATATAGTCAGTAAGGAGAGAATTCCTGGGAAGAGCAAAGATGCCAGACAGATATTCTTCACTCAAGAGTGCCTCAGCCACAACAGGCATTGCTCTCTCACTCCATATTTTACACAACAGCTGAGAAGTTTGTGTAGTGAGGGCAGATAAACTCATTATTGCCAGTCCCCACAACATACAATTACTTTGATTCATGCAATTTGCCTCTGTAATGAGATGTCTCACAGTAAATACACCATAACCACCAAGACAACTGTTTACTTATTATGGCTAGATTATTCTAAATTCATTGAATCAAACGCTTCAGGATTGCTGGTTTGATACCTATTGGCAAAAATACTCCTGGGCAATGAACCAGTGGATTCACAGAACAAACACACAGGGTGCTTCCTTCAGACCCAACATCAGTCAAAGGAAAATATTCTTCATGGACATTCAGTGCACAGGAAATGGATGGATCATGTAAGACTGCTGTGTTTGAGACCTTTCCTATATATGTTAATGCTCAATTTTGGCAATTTCCAGAGCCTCCAGAGGGAATGGAGGATGGTGTGGTTCTGCAGCAGCGATGAGAGTCCCGCAGGTGAGAGCAGGTTCAGGAAAGTGTCCCCTGAGGATGGGCACAGGCTGATCCTCCAGAAATTAACAGCTGTAATTTTTGAAGCCAGAATCGTGAGCGTGGGTCTGCAGCTATTGTGTAGTAGCTCTTGATGAGATAACAGGTGGGATGCTGACATTGGTTGGCACCCAGGGCTGCAATGACTCTGCATTTACCATTCATTAGCTCTTGTGAAAGCAGCACAAGAATTTCATCTTGTGGCAGTCGAAAGAGAATGAACCTGATGCTTCTTTCTACCCAAATGTTTGTCCTGTTTCAAAGCAGGGAATGTCAAGCCTCTGTGGCAGCCTGCTGGCCCTGATTTTACTTGGAATAATGCATAAACGTTACTGGGAAGCCAACTTTTTTTTTATGAAATGAAAAGGCTCTGGAAATTGCCGAAATTGAGTGTTAACATGTAGAGAAAAAGTCTCAAACACAGCAGTCTTACAAGATCTGTCATTTACTTCTGTGCCAGTTTAATGCACAGTGCTTCAGAGGTGCTGGCACATAGCTTTCCAAAAGATGTAAACAACAGAATGAATATTTTCAAAGCACTGAACTGGGAGAATGGCACTTACAATGTTTTCAGCAAAGCTAATGGAGAGAGAATATGGAAAAATTATCTAGACCTTGGAATGTCTTTGCCTTCAATTCAGTGCTTAATCAAGATTTTGTACCAGAAAGGGCCAAGTCAGGGATTGCCAGGGCAGTTAAGCCAAATCAGGTCCCCACTGCAGCCTAGAGCTGAGCAAAGAGCTGGTATAATTGTCTAATGTCCTCCTCTGGACACTGAGATCCACAACAAAACTGCTCAGATGCCCATGGTGGCTTGTCTGTCCCACTGCAAAACCCTAAAGATGGGTTAATACCATTCTTACAGGATCAAACAGGCAGCAGAACTAAAGGGAATTGATCCTCAAGTGCACTCAGGCCTGTTTTCTAATTTTCTTTTGCATGATTATCTGAGCCACTGTCTTTTGGTCCCACATACCCATGCCAGCAGCCTGAGTGCCATTGCCAGCAATTTGTGTAATTCATCAAGAAACCATGACAGAGTTTATGGCATTTATCCTTCCATTCCATGACCTATGATGCAATTCTCCCTCTAATACTATAAAAAAGCCATCCCTGCTCACCGGGCTTTTCCCCTGGCTCAGACACCACAAGCAAGAAGAGGCCATGAAGCAAAAGGACACAGCTGCACTTTTTAAAAGGTCTTGGCTGGCATCATCTCACCTAAGCAGAAAGTCTGATTAGGGAGTCTGGTCACCTTTGTCACCTCCTGTCTTCAGAGAAGAAACAGGCATTGATCTGAGGAGATATTTTGATCTCAGGTGCAGCTTCTCATGTCAAGGCTCTTTTCTCCATCTCTTGCAGTGGAAGTGCAGGACATCTGGGCACCTGATTTGAAAACTTCTTTTTTCTTTTTTTTTTCCCCACTGGGTGTGAACTCATCGTCCATGGTTTTACATTATTCCCATTCTCAAGAATATTACCCTTATTTCTCTCCCTGTGAATCCTCAAATTCTTTCTCTACTTTTGGCTTATTTCCATCTCCCACTTTGTCTGTTTGCAGCATTCCTCCTCTTTGATTCTTCCCTTCTTGCTCATTGTACACTCAGCTGTTCAGTTTCTTTCTCTCTGATCAAGCATTATGTATTGAAGTGGATGACCATTTACCAGTTAGTTTTCCCAAAATTGGTTTTGGGAAGAAGAATTAAGAAAGTAAAAACTGGGCTGGAACTTAGCTACTAATATTAATTTGGTTAATACTGTTAACTAAAAAGAAAACATTTTGAAAAAATATATATAAAATATAATTATAAATTTTATCTTTGAACTGTTTTTTTTTTTTTTCCAAAGGATGTAAACAAACAGTTTAAAAGCTAAAAATATTTTCCCTTGAAAAGAGATTTTTTAAATTATTATGTGACAGTAAAAGAACACAAGTCAAGAAAAAAGGAAAAATCTCAGAACTATTAATTTCAAGTTTAAAAAAATACCTCAGTAAGGTTTAAAATGAGAATTTTACTGTTTTTTAGAATTTTTGTTTGTGGTTTTAAAAGTCTTTTTGACATTAAACTGTGAGCAATTTTTTAAATCTTTGGACTCCCACAGAAATGAAAGATCTATTACTCACTAAATTTTGTCTTCAGTTCCTCCTTTCCCTTCTATTTTTGAATTGTCAATTCTCTCTTTGTCTGGCTGCCTTTGATATTATATTGTCTCTAGATGATCCAGTCCAGCCTCTCACACAGTCCCTGCTCTATAAACATTAACAAATTAATGCTGCATTCAATGGCATGAAGCACTGCTGCTGACAGAGATTGAGGGCCAGCAATACAGAAATCACAGATGAATTTGCAATGTGAGAGCAGGAAAAGGAAGGGGACGCAATCTTAGGCTGCAGTAGAAAGACATTACATTATGGAGAAAAAAAAAATCAATAATTTTCCTCTGCACAGCCTGGCTGTGGCTGCACCTGAACTATTCTATTCCTTCCAGGGCACTAGAAGAGCTATTGACAAAGGGGTTTGCAGAGAGAAGTGCTGCAGCAATTGGAGAAAGTTTAAATGAGATAAATAAGACAGCTGTGCTTCTCTGGGTAGATGGGACACACAGGAGCATGGCTGGGAGCTAGGTGCATGCTGCCAGGGGCACTGGGATGTGGAACAGGCTTCCAGGGAAGGTCAGAGCATCCCTGATCTGCATCTGGCTGCATCTACACCTATGGCTACAGCCACAACAACATCCTTCCTATTCCTGCAGGATAAAACCTTCTGGAACTGATTTCTCACAACCAAGCTGCTTTAGCAACTCCCTCCCTGTCTGAGGGCAGAGTTTTGCCCCTCAGGAGAGTAAAGCTCCAGATCAGCTGCCAGGGGTTGGTGGGCTCTGCCCAGGGAGGGCTGGACCTTTGGGAATAGCTCAGCTCTTCCCCTGGGAGAGGCAAACACCACGAATGAGCGAGCTCAAACATCTGCCCTATTCTCACTCCCTCCTTTCACATCAGAACTTGGCACAAGATACTTAAAGAATGGGCTACAACAAACAGGATTAATAATGGAATAGTACAAGACCCAGCCAAGATGAAGGTCCTGATATTCTTTGGTTGTTTAAATATGTACTGTGGAAAGCTTTGAAATATCAAGCATTTAAGCAAACATCCTGTGACAGCATTTAATATGTTTGTATCAGATTATGCAGAACATTTGCTTTTCATGATACTTTGAGATCTGCACTGCTCATGACCAAGCTGTAAATTGTATTTCTGCTAGCAATCTGCCCCCACCAAAGACACACAGCAGGCTTCTGCCCTGGCCCCAGAGAGTTCCTCTGCTGGCTTCTGTGGCACATCTGAGGAAGAAAAGGTTTTACGTAGCCATCTGCAAGGAGCTGTGAGTTGAGGGTAGGTATAGGAGCTAAATATCCATGTTGATCATAGGAAGAACTTGGTTTTCCAGAGCTGGGTACTTGTGGTGCAATACAGAGAGAACTGCCATAAAGACAGGAAAACATGTCCCCCTAACTAGGTGGGAAAAGCACCTGATTAAACACTTACCAACACTTGGCTGCTTTCTGGAAGATTCCGCTCTCCAGTGTCACCAACACTGCATTTCTTAGCTCTGTTAAGGCCTTATTCTCTGCCTTCATTTCCTTTGTTGTGCACTGTGTGTCTAAAGACACAGATTTGAGAAGCTGGAGAGGTGTGGGGCAGTGCAAGGCTGGCTCTGGAGGCCACATCTGCAGGGAGAGCCCATCTGGGAGGCCAGAGCATGGTCCTGTGATCTGCAGGAGCACAGAACAAACATGAAGGCATGGAGGATCTAATTGGAGGATTTAATTGGATGTAACTGACCTGAAAAAAGCCCCCACTCAGCTGAACATTCTCAGTGGAGCTATGTGGTGACAGCAGAAATACTGACTTAAATGCTACAGAAAGAAAATAAATCTGTTGTCCTTTTATAGGTAGGAGATGCATGTAGGAGATTTTATTAGGATGAACAGGAAAAATCAAAGTCTAGTGTATACACCCAGGAGGCATTTGAAGCTAAGAATTAGTTTTGCAGCAAGAAGTAGAACTTGCTAACTGGCTCAGCTATCATTTAGGAATCCACAGTGAAATGGCTAATTTATTATACAAATTAGACCAAGGCAGAATAAGGCATTCTGTTTAATCATAAAGATTTGGGGGTGGAAGTCTTTTATTTTTGAGCAACACTGAATATTCTATAAAGTCAAATCTTCTCACTTAAATGAAGGTATTAAAATAGAGGGCAGAAAGTGAAAGAGGTCACGCGGTTTCATCAGGATTACTTTCAAGTCTTTAACTCATTGGGTTTTTCATGAGGAAAACTGTCTCAGGTTTCTCTTAAGCTAACTTAGATGCTGTATGGTGTGAGAAGTGGCTAGTTAAAGGACTTAAATAAACCAAGAAAGGTCAGGATTTCCTGCCAACATTTCTGCCTGGGGAATAAGTATGTTTTCTTTTCCTCTGCCCTCAGAATGTAATATGCCTCCTACTAACTTTAGCAATAAGTTGAATATATGCTTGATTTGCCAATTGGTTCAGAAGTGCAGATAATTCTTATCTTCACAGTCAGGAGCAGTGCCTGCCAGGAGGGGAACCTGCAGCACGTTTCAAGTGTTTATCACAAAAAGCTCAAGTGTGTGCAGTACCATTTCCTTCAAGGAGTTCTCTGTGTTAATCTGGTTAGTGGCCAAATTTGTGAGGATTATGTTAAAACTGTAGTCCTCTTTTCAGTAAGATACCAAAATCTCTCTACATCCTAACCCCTTCCATGTTTTACCTGGCCTGTGCTTGCTTTCTCAACCAGTTATGTGGGGGAAGGATGCAGGGATGATGTGCTTCCTTGAAGGTCTCAGGTCATCCTGACCTCCAGTGCTTCTAGAAATAGAAATAGAAATAAATAGAAATAGAAATAGAAATAGAAATAGAAATAGAAATAGAAATAGAAATAGAAATAGAAATAGAAACAGATGGAGAAAAAGAAACATCAGCACCTGAGCCTGCTTCTCTCCTTATGCCAAGCAGTTTGAGAAGGGAAGTTACAGAGCAGGTGAGACCAGACAGATGAATGCTGCTTTGTCACTGGGAAGGCAGCAGTGAGGTTGCTTCAGACCTGGTTTTTCCCTTTGTTGTCAGTGAAGTTCAGCATGTGACATAATGCATAAGACCTGGGCATACTTTGACTTTTAAATGCCTGGTCCAAACATTTATGAAGTTAAGACAAACTATCCATTGAGTCCATAGGCTTGAGATTTGGCTTTAAAAAGATCCAGACTCTCTTCCAAAAGTTCCTGAATTTTTGAGACACTTCTCTAAAAAGTTCCTTGGGGAAGTGTAATTATTTTTAATCAATTTTTGGGATTCACAAAGTAAGCTGCTGATGATTACATGATTTATACATGCTCTCCACAGACTTGGTGGGGCTTCATGCATCATTTTACAGTGATTTTTGCTTATTATGGGAACTGCATGGTAATAGTTGTTTCAATTACAAGCCTATTAGGCAGGTAATTGACAACACAAGTATACTATAAAGTTACACTCTGCTTGCTCCAATACAAATGCTTCATTGTGGTTTTAGGCAGGCAGTGCTGATAATCAGTGAATAAATTATTACCTAATTAACTACTTCTGTCAGAATCCCAGCTTCACTCAATAAGAAAGTTGGCCAAGGGTTTGTTTGTCTCTTTGCCTTCTCCCTCCTCTTTATCATCTCCCATGATGAGAAACTGTTCATCTGGATAAGAGTCTTGCCCAGACCCTGGCAGCAAATGCACACTGTCAGCTGTAATGTCAACAATCAGACCTCTCAATCAGACCTAATCAGATCTCTCATAGCTGCAGAAGGTCCCCGAGAACAAAAGAGTGGCAATGCCTGAAAGTGGATTCCAATTAACTGGGTCCCTGAGAGAGGTTTCTAAAGGAGTCAAGGGTATTCACTTCAGCCTAAACACCTCCAGAGATTCCTTGGAAGAATTGCAAATGAGATCTCAAGTGCCTTATAACTCATTTTCCTAATGTATCAAAAAAGTCAATAGTGATCAAATCCTGTGTGAAAGGATACACACCAATCCAATTTTTTTTTTTTTTTTAAGTGAGGAAAATATCAGAGTCAGAATCCAGGTGTTCCTTATGTTTTCCTTGTTTCAGTCAGGAGAATGTACAAGTTTAAAAAGCTTTCTCCTGTGAAAGACTGAACATGAAAGAAAAGCAAGAACTGTCCTCTTTGAAAACTTTTAACCAGCCGTTTGAGAAACTACTCTATTGAGAAACTGATCTATTTATGTTATCGCTGAAACTTTCATTATTTGTCAGCTGTGATAGAGTTATGGTGGAGACAATAAATAAGATTCTCATATCTCTTAATTACTCTTAAACATTTAGGCTTTCCTAGACAGCTGCATAAGATAGAAGCTGAACTTGTGTCTCTCAGAAAATTATTACATGTGCTTTTCATCAAATCTTGCCTTAGTACACTCATGACCAACTGAGAGTGCCCTTGTGAGCTCCTGCTTGGAGATGAATTTCCCATCTCCCATGGTGAGATATCCCAGATTCATTCATTCAAATGTCTGAACTGTGTGCTGTGGAGTTGGAAGTAGTGTCCTATCAGTTCAGAGAATTAGCAAATCATAATTTTTGTCTGGTTGCCACTGCTCTTGTTGCTTTCATCAGCAAAGATCACTGTGAATCTCGAACCTGTAGTGTGTTCTATATCATTTCACTCAATTTTACTCCTTTAGTGTGCCCTCCAGCTTTTCCAGGACAGGAGGTACATGAAAAGTCTCCTCTTACAGTAACGATTTCTCTTTAATCTCTGAATCTCTGAGTGTAAACTGACTTTTAACTAGCAGCTTGATCCATTTTGTTCAGAGAGATTCTAGTAAGACAAATAAGGAAAAGAAATTTGTTTCATCTTTTCCTTCAAATTATTGCTTCTCTTGTAGCAGCTCAGAAGAAGAAGAAAAAAGGAACAAGCACTACTTTGATACTGCCAAGGTCCAGGGAATATGGGAACGTTGTTGGGTAACAGGCACAGCAAAGAAGACAGAAGACAAAGTCCTTGTTCCTGACTGTGTGCAAGTGAATTTCATTGCCTGTTTCCCTTCCCTCCAGCACCTCCCTGTTTGGGCTGCAGGGCTGGCAGGACCTTCTCACCCAGCCCCTGCTCCTCTCTGAGGGCCAAAGGAGAGCTAATTAACAGTTCTGCTTGTAGAAAACAGGTCCAACTCACAGGAGTCACCTGTGATGGACAGGTGATTATCTGCATTAGCCATATTTTACAGCTGTCTGTTTTCACTGCTCGAGCTTTCTGGGTGCAGTCTCATCATTCCTGACAAAGCAAGCACTGTGGCACTATAAAATGCAAGTTCAGCTGCAGTCCCAGTTATCCTGCTGATCCTAATCCCACCAATCTTGTACTGGCATGTGATTGACAACCAAAAATCAGCAGAATATTGGATTTCCTACAGTTCAGGAGGCTGCCAAGAAACTTGTTTCAACTTTTCATGATAAAAAACCAATTTCAGTTATGAAGCAGCTCTCCTCAAGATCTCAGTCTTTCAGGGGGTATGCATGCAACGCTGTCTATAAGCATCTCTGACTGAAAAAGTCCTTGAATGAGAGGTTCCTTTTCTTAGGTATTTTTAACATTCCTAGCACACTGGAGACCTGATTGCAAATAATTTTATTATTTTTTATTATTTAAAATATTTATGTATTAGTATAAATTATATTATTGTATTATTAAAATTAATTATTTATTTGCTTTATGTGAGTTGTTTATTTAAGCTTAAATTTCAAGGTGCAAGTTCCAAGTTTATCTTTCACTTTAATATTTAATTCTTAGATGCTGAAATAATGCAGGGGCTTTTTTGTTGGGTTTTTTTTTTTCATTTTTTGGGTTTTTTTGTTTGTTTGTTTGTTTGATTTTTTTAATTTGGGGGTTTTTTTGGTTTTTTTTTTTGTTTTTTTTTTTGTTTTTTTTTGTTGGTTTTTTGGTTTCATTACTTCAGTTCACAAGATTCGACCCACAGCCCATTTCAGATATTTCTGTCTGGGACAAAAAAAACCAATGAATGAGGGAAGATGACACTCAACATTAAAATGATAAATATTTAGCAAAAAAATAGGAGGTTCAGGCAGAAACATTTAGGAAAAAAAACCTGTTCATTTCATGTCATCTGCTTAGAATGACAATGTTACAGTTTATGCGAGAACTGAAATTAAGATTTCAATTGCTTCTAAATTAGCACACAGGCACACAAGCGCACAGAAATTAATAAAACCCAGAAACAGAAAGGACAACAACAATGGGATGCAGAGGGGTTTTGATTATTTCAGCATGTGGCCTAAAACGTGGCAGATTCAGCAAGATGCAGATTTGCATAATGTAATGAGACTGGAACCAAAGTATCAGGAAGACAGACCGAGTGCTAATTAACTAGACACTGCAGTAAAAACACCAGCATGGCAGGATAGTGCAGTGCAGGAAAGCATTCCAGGGACAAATGGATAGCAGTGTTAATTGCATTAGGAGAAAAAAACAAGCCCTGCTGGCTAAAATCCTCCGGAGCTACTGCTGCAAACTTCAGCACAGCGTTTGAGAAGTTTGGTGCGAGCTGGAAGTTGTTTGGAGCTGCAGATCCCTGACAATTGCAGGACTGGCAAAGACCCTGATCAGTCATTGTCTGAATGGAGCCAGCCCAAAATTACAGAGACAATAACAGCATTGAGATGGACAGCAAGAAGTAAATCCTCCATCCCCTCTGGAAATGCCTGCTGTTTGTAGCTTGCTTGGTTTTAATCTGTGTGCAGAGCACTGGGGATACTCTGCAAAGGACTCCATGCCCTCTTTGTTTGGTTGTCTGGCAGCCTGCCATGGCTGCCAAGGAATAGTTTGTCCCTCTTCCCTTATTCTGAGGACTGAAATTTGAGACTGGGATTGCTCTCTTGTGCATAAGGCATCCCTAATCACCCAGAAAATCCTAATGGTTTCATATGCCTTTTTCTTGCCTCCAGGACTCTATAACCAGAGCTAAATTGATAAAAAGCTTTTTTAATAAAAGAATCATTAATATTTAACTGCTGGCATTAAACTTAGAAATGTATGTGTGTCTATTTTACACAAATGCCTGCAATCACCTATCAATAATTTAGGCACGTGAGTTTCTATAGACACCTCCAGCAGCTGTATTAACCCAGTCCTCTCTTTCTTTCTGGGTGTGATTTTTGCACTTTCTTTCTGCAGGTTTGGATGTGTGGATAACTGTAAGAGGGAAGAGAATTCTGCAGGAGCACTATGCTCCCGTGTACCACATTCATGGAAAAAAAGAGGAGCAGAAGAAAATGCTTCCTAAGCCTGAGGCCAGCTGCAGAAGCATCTCATAAACTCAAGTACAGCAGTTCGTGATTTTAACTCTGACTTGCTCCTCTACAGCCTGGCAGGTAAAGCACAAACTTCATGGTGGTGCAATCTTCTTTTCTCCAGGGAAAGCCTGGTTCTCCCTCAGCCTGCTCAGAGGGAGCACAGCTCACTCAGAAGCCTCAAGGTGAGGCCATTTTCTGGGAAGAGGTCCAGTAAAGCTTCAAGACACTTGCTTTTTGCTTTCATTAGATACATGTTTCTTCAAAGAGTGTGTTAGGTAAGCAGGAAAGATTTCCAAATCCTGCTTAGCAGCTAGAAACACTGAAGTGTTCACTAGATGTGTTAAATTATTGCTCCAGGTACTGCCACCTGACTGCAGAACTGTTCCAGCAGTGAAAAGTCTTATTTACAAATGAAATTCTGAAAACTGAAAATAAGAAGCAATAGGCAATAGATGGGACAAGAACATTTTGAGAATCTTCTTTGATAAAAGGAAGAAAATTAGTCACAA